CCTAATACCCATGTGCAGGGTAGTCCCTCACTTATTTAAGCCAACCAACACTTCCCATTCCCCTGGCCACAAAGATGAGTTCCAGGTTGGGCCCGTGACCTAAGCCTATCCAATCAAGTGAATCTCAGGATTCTTGCCCAGCATCCAAGGACAGCACTCTCTCCCTTTGAAAGTAGGCAGGGAAGTTCACATTCCTACAAGCTGTTGACTTCTTCTTGCAAGCCCAGGCCAGACCACACCAGTACAGAAGGCAGCTGGCCCCACCACAGGAGGCACAGCAGGAGACGCAAGATACTGGGTCCTGAATTACATCACTGAGCCTCGGGATTAAACCATCCCATAGCTGGTCCTCCCATCTCTGGACCTTCCCATTACATGAACCTAAAGAGTAAATTTTTTATTTAAGCAGCTTGAGTCAGGTTTTTTATTATTTGCAATAGAAAGAGGGCTAACTCATAAAGTCTTTTCATTAGGTCATGTGGTTTTAAATTATTATTCTGGGAAGTGGTTTAGAAAGGTCATGCCGTGGCCATGCGGAGGGTAAAGTGGTTAGAGAATCTCGAGGAAGAGAGATGGCTGGAGGCCCAGTGAGACTTAATGGAGCAAGAACTAAAGCCCTGACAGTGGACATAGGGGGAGATGATATGGAAGAAGAGGCATTGATGCAATTTAAAATGCGCTAGGAAATTCATCTGGGGTTGAAATCTTCATTTGTTCTCTTTCATTCTACAGCAATGGATGCTTGTGTTGGAAAAATAACTTTTGGGGCCCCTGAGTGGCTCAGTGGTTGAGCATCTGCCTTCGGCTCAGGTTGTGATCCCAGGGTCCTGGGACCTAGTCCTGCACAGGCTCCAGCATAGAGCCTGCTTCTCCCTCTGCCTATGTCTCTGGCTCTCTCTCTGAGTCTGTCATGAATAAATAAATAACATCTTAAAAAAAAGAAAGGAAAAGAAAAGAAAAATCACTTTTAAGCTCATCAGTTCCCCAAAGTCTATCCCTTTCCTCCCTATGAAAAGAAGCGAAAGAAGAGAGAGTTATTAGATATTATTCCATTATCCAACTTCTGGTTTTGACTTTGTACTATTCATTCCTTCATCATATCCCCTGCTACATAGCTCATCCTGTCAGATGTTTCCATCCTTCAAAAATGTGCAGCCTGAAATCACATCCCCAGTAATCATCAAGTAGCCCAGTTCCATGTATTTAGCTCCTTTAAATCTTTCTTCATATTTCAGTACTTTTTTTTTTTTTTAAGATTTATTTACTTACTCACAAGAGACACACACAGAGAGGTAGAGACACAGGCAGAGGGAGAAACAGGCTCCCTGCGCGGAGCCCGATGTGCCGGGATCACGATCCAAGCTGAAAGCAGATGCTCAACCACTGAGCCACCAGGCACCCCAATATTTCAGTGTTTTTAATTCCTCTGCATAGAAGGAGCTATGCTCATGGTTCCCTCGGTTGCATTTCGCAGCTCCAGTGGCAGCGGCCCACCAGTTGCGTAGGGCCCCCTGGACGAGTGAGTCCCAGCAGGAAGTGAGGCATGCGGCAATATGCACATCAAACAGAAGGCTTGAATGGATGCAGTTCTCACCTGGTTCTAGCTCTTTCCAACTGCAGACGTAGGACAAGTGACTTAACCTTCTGGGTCTCAGTCTGGCCGCCTCAGTACAGGAGTGATTATTATCCCGCAAGGAGGCTCTCTTCCTTTAGGCCTTCCTGCCTCTTCCCCAAGGAGGAGGAGGGCAGATATGGGGGAATCAGGGACCCATCCCTGGGCTGAGTTTTGAATAGTAAAATCTCACTCTCTAAAGGGTACTGATCTTTACATTTCAAAGCCCTCATGGCCAGAGACTCAGGACAGGTCCAGGCTACTGAGGCTCCTGGGAGCTGTTCTGCTCTGATGAGGTGAAAAGAGCCAGGCCTGCTCTAGCCTTACAAGGAGTCTCGTTTTCCTCTCCTTTACTTATCTCCCATTTTCTTGGACCATCTTCTCCTTGGAGCCAGAGCAGGAAAACAGAGGACTGAGAATTAAATGCAGCTTGCTGGCAAGCACTGAGAAAGAGCCTTGGCCTACTTGTCACATTGCAGCTTCGGCCTGGTCACAAGGAGCCCTCCAAGTGGTCCAGCTTGGCTCCCTGGGGGACGCACTGGTATTCAGGGGCAAAAGGCTTGTGCTAACGAAGGCTTTGAATTAGCCCTCACTTGGCTACGGCATATATAGATCTAGGAACAGGGGCAGGACAATATTGACAATTGACAATTTTGCTACCTCAACAAAACTACTCCTAGTTAATAAGACCACCGTCTTCTAGGATTATGATGATGATTAAATGAGATCGCACAAGAGGAAACATTTTGAAGTCTCCAAAAATGTCAGGTGATAATCTGGAATTCTCAACTTTTCCTATTCCAGTTTCCTCGCTCGTTAAATGTTCAAAGCTACTCATGAAGCTCTGAGGGATGGCGAGATGAAAAATAGGTGAAAAAAATGCCAAACAATAGCCATGGGAAAACTCTCTTTTATCTTCACAATTGACAGTTTGGCACTGAAATCCTCTTTAGAGCTCATACTCTGTTAAAACTCTTCTGGACCTTATGCCTTGTCACGGATTTTCTAAATCCACAGAAAACAGGAAAACTCATTTGTTGTGTTCTCCCGTTGAGACAATATGGTTGTTTTGCCCTAATAACACACAACTGTTTCATTTTAGATTCCTTGTAATTACATCATTTCTAGCAGTAAATGAGCCTCTATGTGCATCATAAGGACCCTGTCCCCTTAGCAAGATCACTCAGTCTATCCTACTGCCCACACCTGCTTTGTTGAGTGCACTTGCTAACCCTCGTGTATCTCACAGGTAGAAAGCATGGCCCGGCCCCCCAGGAGCTTTTCCTTCAAGCAGCCGTCTCTGATCTTATAGATACAAGTGCACAGAAATCTCAGCCAGTCTCCTAGATATGTTGCAAACATCATGTCTCCACCAACATAAACAACTAAACATGTTAAGGTTTTAAAGAAAGTCTAAATTTCTCAAAGCACAGCCAGCATTTTGGAGGAAGAAACAAAAAGAAAAAACCATGAGGTACGGAAATGCTATAAAAGAAATCCCAGCAGTTACTCTATCTTTAAGGCAATAGGTGACTGGGTGCCCTGGGTACTTAGAGCCGACCAGAAGGAAAACCAGCCAAATAACTGAACAACTGAGAGCAGAATCTCTTTGGGATTTCTCCAAGACCTCATCAGTGCCACCACCGAGGTGCCATGCACCCCGCTTTCCTTCCCAACGGGTGCCTTTGCTGAATGCTGCACCATCAAGGAGCTGAGTCTTTCTCCTGTTTTCTGTGCCTCTTCTAGTTGGGAGGTCTCTAGGGGATTCCATGCCAGAATCCATACCGGGGCCTGAACGAAAGGGGCAGAGCACATGATCACCCCGTCTCTGGCCACCCATCCAGCAGACCCCCCCCAACCTGCTACACAGCACAGCAGTGCATGTACCCAGCTGGGGCCTGAGAAGCTGATGCCAACTCTGAGGAGACTCACAGTGTAAGAGGACAGTGGACTTGCTGGCTCTTGTCATAGACAGAAAAAACTTCAAGGCAGAGGCCTCCCAGGAAAGGGTCCCCTCCAGCATGTCCCTTGTCATTTGTCCCATAACTACTTTTTAAGCATCTACAATGTGCCATCCCCTATCCCCTTGTAGGCTCTAGATCTATATCAGTGACTAAAAGGACATCATGCCTGTCCCGGTCCCAGGGCCATAGTGAGAGGAACTGTCCCCTCAAGGTGAAGCTTCCTGACAAGTGAGGGATCTAGAATCCCCATGTCCTCATTTGTGAACCTTAAAGGGCATCTCTTATTTAAGAACACTAACATCGAACAGTAAAATCATTCATTTTTCTCCGCACAACACTCTCCGATAACACACTGACAATAGAATATTTTTCCATTTAGCAGGACTCCAGGCTGCCCTTCCGGGCAAGGAAATGCAAGGGGCTCCTTCCTGCTAGCCTGGGGCCAAGTGTTGCCTCTCTAAATAACCAAGAAAATGGCACTCCAATTAAATTATTTTTGATTCAGATTATCTGACCAAAGGGAGCTAAGAGCAGCAGTTGGGAGTGGGGTGACTTCCATCAGCATTTTAATGGACAATGGAAAGATACTGACATTTTCTGGGAAAGACTCAAAAAACATCACTTGATTAAATTCACATTTCTCAGAGAAGCAATTGTAATAACCCCTAACAAATTAGAACAAATTCCATTCTGTCACAGAGTCTGAATCAATGAGCTTCGCCGAATTTCCCATTTTGTAGGGGGGGATGCCAGAGGCTCATTAAGGCTGAGAGACTTGCAGGAGGTGACCGCTCACCCCATCTCCTGATCCCTCACCCAGCGTGGTTTTGGAAGAGAGTTAACAGGTTACACCTGCCTGGAGCAGCACAGAGACAGGACATCAACGCGCCGTGCAAGACGCTAGGCCCTGACGGGCTCTGGGCCCCCACACTGCCAGATGCAGTTTCCACCCCAGTTCACCATATAATTCACTCAGTCCAAAGCTACCTGGGGCCATGGCCCAAAGCCACAGAACTTCATAGGCATTTTTAAATGTTTATTTTATTTTATTTTATTTTTTATTTATTTGCATGCAAGCCCAGAGGGAGAGGGAGAAGCAGACTCCCTGCTGAGCAGAGAGGCCAACTCTGGGCTGGATCCCAGGACCCTGAGATCATGACCTGAGCCAAAGGCAGATGGTTAGCCAACTGAGCCACCCAGGTGCTCCTCACCAGCATTTTTTAAAAAGAAAAAGAATTTATTGGAAGACACCAGAGTGCATTGCACATGGTAAGGAAAGTATTGTTTTATGAAACTCTTGTCTCAGGTAGGTAGGTAGGTAGGTGATTCGTCATTATTGTGGGCTGGGTCATAATGTAGAGTGCATTTCTACTGAGAAGCCTGGTTAAAGTAAACAGACGATGGGCAAGGTGTGCTCTCATTACTATTTTTGAATGAAGATATAATTAGCATAAAACATCGTGTAAGTGTCAGGTGTACAACATAGTGATTCAGTGTTTGCATGCACTGCAAAATGATCACCACAATAAGTATAGCTGACATCCATCACCACACATAGTTACAAATTTTTTTTTGTTTATGATGAGAACTTTCAAGATTTACTCTCTTAGCAATTTTCCAGTATACAGTAGAGTATTATGAACTGTAGACCCCATGCTGTGCATCATATCCCCAGGACTTGTTTATAACTGGAAATTTCAAACTCTTCAACCCCTTTTGCCCACTCTCCCCTAACCTCTCATCTCTGGAAACCACCAGTCTGTTCTCTGGATCCATATCTCTTTACGACTGAGTCCTTCCTTTTTTCCACTTTGCTATTTCCAAATGTTTTTTCAGTGTTGCTGAACAAACCGTGTGCTTCACTTCTCATTCTCTTGCATTCATATTCCCCAGGACTGTCAAACAGTCTCTGCCTACCTGGTCAGGATTTTTACCTGCTCTGACGAGGTGATTCCAAGACGTATTTTGCTGTTTAAGATGAGATCAGCCTAGGAAAATGAGTGTCATTCACAAGATTCCAAACATTTTGCAGAACTTAACAAACTTATTACACACACACACACACACACACACACACGCACACACAATTTTTTTTTCCTTTCTTTGGTCACTGTAGCAAATAGTAGAATGTTTTTAGGACTTGGCCTGATGTTCATGAGAGTTCCGTGCATTGTGGCACCCACTGTTTTTAGGCTTCCAGAACCATTTGCAAAGGCCCTCAGTGGCCATAGCCGGACTGACCTGATGGCTCTCCAGCATGTGCAGTGGCTGAAACAGATCCACTCCCAGTAACTTTGCTGCAGCCAATGGGTTAATCCTCCCTGAGCTGAAGCCTGACATGGTGCAAACCACAAGCTCCCCCTCACAGCTGTTTGAGCATTTCATGAGCCTGACAGGAAACACTTACGTCTGACCTAAAGCTCACCTGTTGCAACGTGACTCCACTTCATTCATTCGCTCTGTCACACGGTCAACAGATATTTTCAACCCCCCGCCATGGGCTCACCCTTGCACGAGGCTCTCCGGAACCCAGGGTGCAGGTGCTCACAGCCCAGCCACAGAGACATCATGCTCATAAATCCCCAGGCCAGGCTGTCACTTGTGTGATGAAGACAATGGGATTTTTTTGGTACATGGGAAAGGAGCAAAAAGTGTTGGCCTCAGGAGGACTGTTCTGGCTCATGGTGACGCTGGGTATGACCTGCTGGAGATGGAAATGGAGATGGAGTTGGTATCTTCCCCCTAAAAGTAATTTTCCCTAAACTTCTCTTTTGAGTCTGGTTCAATATTCTAAATTGATTTTTCTTTTTATATCCAACTTTTAGCCCTTCCTTCAATTCCGTTATTGAAGTTCATTTATTCTCCATCTCTTCCTCTACAAAGAAATGAGCTCTGTGAAAGTAGGGGCTTTATCTATTTTGTTCCCGTGCTCTTCAATGTCTAGTACAGTACCTGGCAGTAAATGTTTGCTCAAAAAAATTTATGTGGCCCATTTTCCCTGGGCTTTGTTGGACTAAAGTGGGGGCTGGGACTAATGTTTAAAATGAGTTCCTGAAACAAAATAAATAAAATAAATAAAATAAAATAAAATAAAAATAAAAATGAGTTCCTCTTACAAATAATGAAACAGACCCCCTCACTCCTACCCACCATTGCAATATCTCTATCCCCACCAGGTCTCTCCTGCTTGTTTCTGAGCATTCTCTAAGATGTCTGTAGTGTGCTCAGGAATAAGTTCCTATAGGTGTGGCCACCACATTAGAGACCTCCACAAGCTGAGGGAGTTCTGTGTTCTCTGACGCCCTCCATGCAAGGGCCATAGCTGTGAGCCATGAAGAAGGGGAAGAAACACCTCTTCTTCTCCATTACATATACACCAAAGCAATGTAGCTTTGTGCCATAGATTTGAAAGATTTGTTTAAAAAAAAATCAATGCTTCTTCCCATATGTACTTACAGCTCCTTATTTCCCCTAGATTCAGACACCAGTCCATGAAGAGCTCACCTGAAGGCAAGGGGCAGTATTCAGTATCTCTTCTTTCTGCAGAGCTTCGAGACTTTGGTATTGGGCTGAACTTGTAAGGGCGAGGGATTCCATCACTATTCAGTGCCCCCTGCAGAAAGGACCGCTTGGTTAGCCCATCAGGCACTGCCAGGCACATCTAGACTCCAGTGACCATCTTCAACCCTGAGCTTTAGAGCCACCACTGAATCTCTTCTTTCAAATAGAAACTTGGGCTGCCATAGAAACTTCCCATGAGCCTGACCAGGCCTGTGTGTATGTCATTCATATTTTATTTAATATCCCAGAGCTTGTGTGCGGCCAGGAAGTTTAGTGAAGCAGGTCACAAATCCACATGATATGGCCAGTGGCTGAGTGCTTTGGGAGGACACTGAGCTTCTCTCTAACCCGTGGAGGAAAGTCTGCCAATCGAGCTATCATTGCAAAAGCAGCTTTGAGAGGGAGTGTGGACCTAACAGACGATACCATCAATCCTATCAATGCAGCTGCTGTGAACAGGCCCACTGTTACTCCTCAGATCAGGACAGTTCACTCAGCTGTTGGTGTCCCAACAGCATGCCAGTCAATCTGCATAGGACACTTAACAATTAAGCTTTAATGATCTAGTGCGTTGTGAGTGTTTTGTGCATAATAGAAATGCATTTGTAACAGAGGCAAATCTTAGCTGTTTTTGGATGGCTTATTCAAGAACCCACTGCTAGCTACTGCCTTCCTACTGTGTGCTTGGGTCGCTTCTAGTCATAGTCCTAAAGAAAAGATACAAGGTCACCCGTCTCATGCAGCTTACTTGAAATCAGAGGACACAGTAAGAAAACAGATAAATAAAACAAGGTGATTTCAGATCATAAGTTCTATGAAAAAGGTACACAGGACAATATGGCATAAAAGGTGACTGGGATTAGCTGACCCCAATAATTTATACCCCCCTCTGCCTTGCATTCTCTAGTATACATGGTGGGAAGATAAAATGCTTGTGTCTCCACCATCACTTACTGCTAGGTGCTAGGGACTATGGGACCCAAGTCCAAGACTCCAGGTTGAACCCTATGAGGAGGCCTTTGGGTCCAATAAAATGCAGAGCCACATAAGAAATCACTTTGATCCTTTGAACTCTCCCTTCTCCTTGTTTGGGATACAGATATAATGCCCAGAGGTGCAGCAGCTGTCTTGTGACCTTGAAGCGAAATCACAAGGAAGAAAGTCGAGATGTTAAGGGGGGCAGAGCAGAAATGTGAGAAAGAACCAGAGTCCCTGATAGCATCATTGAGGCTTGAACAGCCTTGACCTAACTACCCTGGATATCTTAATATGTGAGACAAAGGTCTACCAGCTTAGGCCCGTACCAGGTTTATTCTTTTTCTTTTTTTGTTTTTTTAAGATTTTATTTATTTATTCATGAGAGACACACAGAGAGAGAGAAAGAGAGAGAGGCAGAGACACAGACAGAGGGAGAAGCAGGCTTCATGCAGGGAGCCCAACGTGGGACTCTATCCCGGGTCTCCAGGATCACACCCTGGGCTGAAGGTGGCACTAAACCGCTGGGCCACCCCGGGCTGCCCCAGGTTTATTCTTATTTGAAGCCACTTTCCTAACTAATAGCGGGACATGAAGTTGTGGTTGGGAAGATATCTTAACCAAGGTGCTCATGGAAATCTTCTCTGAGAAGGTGATATTTTAGTTGAGACCTGAGTGATAAGAAGGAGACAGTCATGTGAAGATCTGGGAGAAAGAAATCCAAGCAGAAGAAATAGCAAGTGCAAAGGCCCTGAGACATAAATAAGCCTGTTGTGTTCAAGGACGATATTTCAATGTGTCCAAACAATGGGGGTTGTGGCCATACTGCCATCTTAGAGGCAGGCAGAAGCTAGACCACACAGAGCCTTGTAATTCATGTCAAAGCTCTACTTGAATTCCAAGGGCATTTAAGATAGATGAGTTTGATCTACGTTTTGGAGGTAAAGCCTTCCACAGGGCTTGATGGATTCAAAGTATGATGAGAGAAAATAAGGAATTAAGGGAGACTCCTAGATTTTTATCCTGAACAATGAATAGGGGCATCACTCAAGTGGGGGAGAATGTGAAAGGTCTGGGTGAGAAAGGGAAGGAAATGCAGTACGGAGGACAGTGTGCATGTTAAGTTAGAGATGCCCGTTAGAACTGCAAGTGGCAATGTTGTATGGGAAGCTGAATCCATAAATCTGAAACTCCAGGGAGGAGTCAGGGCTGGAGTCAGAAATTTGGAACCATCCACGTACAGATGGCATTTAAGTCATGGCTCTGGATGTGATTTCCTGGCCAGAGAATGCAGATAAAGAAGGAAATTTCAGCCTGGGGTAAATCAACATTTACATGCAAAATGGAGGTGGGTAGGCCAGCGGGGGGGGGGGGGGGGACCCAGAAGGAGAATCCAGAAGATTGAGACAGAAGCCAGGAAGCTCTGAGAAAAGGGTGTTTTGAGGACCCGTCATTAGCTCTGCTGAATGATGCCAAGAGCCTAGGAAAGTGACACAGTTGGATTTGTTCATCGGATGTGTTTGGTCATCTTGCTAAGAGCCGTTGCAGAAGAGAGGAGAGGCTCCTGCCTGACTTGAGTGGGGTCAAGACAACATGGGTGGTGAGAACACCAAGTACAGACCTCGCTTGAGTCCAGAGTAGTTCTGCGATGAAGGGAAGTGGAAAAGGGGGGCAGTGGCCACAGGGTGTTTGGGTCAATGGACAGTCTGGGAAGAGCTGTTGGTTAGAAGACAGGTTCTATCTGGACAGCAAGGTAAATGGAGTGAAGTGCCAGGGTGTGTGTGATATTTGTTGAGCTCCCCCTACAAATTTTAGTCAGTCCTCCCCACCGAGCCTGTCAAGTAGCTATTTTCCACCCTCCTTCTGGACACGAGGGACACGGTAGAGTACACTGATTGGCATTTCTGGTTTGAGTCCAAGAGAATCTGAGCTCTGCTGTTTGTGGGCTGTGGAACCTTGACCAGTTATTGAACTCTCTCTGCCTCTGTTTCCTCATCTGAAAAACGAGGATAAAAAAAAGTACTTGCCTCAAATGATTGGTGTGAGGAGGAAAGTGTAATCATCCACATTAAACAGGTACACAAGCATCACACATAGTGAGTGCTCAGTAAATATTAGTTCTTTTCAGAGATGAGAAAAGAGAGCCTCTGAGGTTAACTATCTTCATTTATTGAACAAATAATATATTGAGCTTCTACAATTTGCTCAGCACCACATGAGGCCAGGGAGTAGAGCCATGGACAAGATACAAAATGTTCTTGTCTTCATAGAGCTTAAAGTTGATGATGATGATGATGATGGTGATGATGATGATGATAATAATAAAACCAACAGTAGCCAACATGTATTTACTACGTGTCAGACTCTGGAGGCTTCATAGTAGTAAATAACAAAAGCAGAATCTGTCTTGCTCCAATTTGTAGTTCTAGTATGTCATCCTTCCCAGCGGTATCATTTTGCAAGGAGAATGAAACCCAACTCTAGTGACATAATCCTGGGGTGTGAGGACATGTTATTGAAAGGAAAACATTAGAGGTGATGACTAACCTTCCTTGCTTTCTCCACCACTTCCCCAAGATGCTATCAGAAACAGGTTATGAGGATTGTTTTTCTCTGCATCCTGCCGTGTCCCCTTCCCTGGTTTCTTCCTTTGTTTAACCAAAGACACAAATGTGACAGGCCCCATGTTAGCTCATTGTGGGTACCAAACATGAGTGCTGTGGGCTGAATTGTGGCCCCCTCAAAATTCACAGGGTTGAAGTCCTAAGCCCCAGAATCTCAGAAAATGACTGCGTTTGGAGATAGGGTCTTTATGGAGGTAATTAGGTTAAAATGAGGTCATTAGGACGGCCCTACTCCAATGTGTCTGGGGTCCTTATAAGAAGAGGAGATTAGGGGACACCTGGGTGGCTCAGTCAGTTGAGCGTCCAACTGTTGATTTCCGCTCAGGTCGTGATCGCAGGGTCACGAGATCGAGCTGCACGTCGGGCTGCTCACTCAGTGTGGAGTCTGCTTGAGATTCTCTCCCTCTCCCTCTCCCCTTCCCCTGCTCATGCTCTCCCTATCTCAAAATAAATAAACAAAATCTTAAAACAAACAAACAAACAAAAAAACAAGAGGAGATGAGGACACAGATAGGTCCAGAGGGAAGACCACGTGAAGACCGCCAGAAGGTGGCCATCTGCAAGCCAAGCAGAGAGGCCTCAGAAAAGACCAGCCCGGTCCTCACTTGCTCTCAGACCTGCGGCCTCTAGAATCATGAGAAGATAACTTTCTGTCGCCAAACCCCCCAGTATGTGGGTGTGGCCGTCAGAGTGGCCCTAGCACACTAACACACTGAGGGAAACACTGCTGGTGTGCAAGGCCTGGAAGCATTTTGAGGGCAGGCAAGTTCACACTAAGTACCATGCAACACACAGCAAGACCGGGCCGAGTGAGAAGTGCTCAGGTTAAGTTCCTGGACACCACAGATGACGCCCCCCCCTCCATTTCTCTCAGCATGGGGGGCAGTGGGGAAGACCCCAGGAAAGGTTAGGCCACAAAGCGGAACTAGGGGGACTCCCCGGGGTTCACTCTGGGGAACTCCAAAGCATCCCAGGGAAGTGGGCCAGCATGGATCACCTTTCTTCTATTTTTAGGTCACTCTCTTTGTCCCCCTTATGTGTTATCCTTACTGGTTTCTGTCCAAATCAGCGTGCTGGCATTCCCGTATTGTGACGTTCATTAAGGGGCCAAAGCCTTGTGGCCCATTCTACCGGTGAGGACACTGAGGCACAGGCTGGTGAAGCCCGGCCAGCCCCACACCCAGGGAATGGTGGAGCCGGACCCACCCCCAGCGGTCCTCCCCCTCCGCCGATCGTGTAAGTGACACCAGGCTCAGTCGAGGAGCAGCGTGAGTGCAGGAGGAGCCCGTGAAGAATGCACAGGGGGAGAATGAGATTCCGCTTTGGAGACAGGTGTGTGGAATGCAAAGGGCAGAGCGACACAGAAGCTCGAGAAGGAAAGAGAGGGGGAAGGACGTTGGTGTTATTTGTGAGAAGAGGGAAGATTAGAAATTGCAAGTGAAAGAGAGGAAGG